CCTGGAAGCCGGGGTATTATGATAAGGACGTACACACGTACGCATATCGCCTAGTCTCAAAACTGGGGAGCACATGGCGTGGTACTGATATTTATAAACTCAGACTTAGTCACGTGGAGCAGGAAGGTTAAGATAACCCATTGGTGAATGATCCATCATCATGTTGAGAATAGGCGTTCAGGTAAACAACGCCCTTTTTCTGCTTGGTCCAAGGAGCCAAATTAAACCAAACCCCAAAGATGACAGTCCATTCTCTGCATGAAAACATCTAGCAAAGCAAAACCTCCCACCGCTCTGGTAATTAATTCCTTTGTTAAATTGTTCTTCCTGTTAGGTAGTTTTCTGTTGAATTCTGCCTTCCTGAAACATGTCATGTCTTCCATTCTGGGGTGACAGAGGTCTAGAATGGCTTTGGGGAACAGCCCTAGAGCTGCAGAATTTGTAAGTCACAAATATTGAGAACTGTGTCAACCTTCACAGCCACAGCCATCTTCACTTTGTTTTGGGTTGCCACAGCAATGGAAGGGGGGAGATGCATTCTTCTAGTTTAGTCATAACAATAACTTTCTTCTGGGAACCAAGGTCAGGCTGCCTAAGTGTTTGGCGGGCTGAAGCTATCATTAGAGAGCCCGCCAACGTAGTTAATTGAGGATTGTGATTTATGACACATACAGGGGTGGGGAGTTCAACTTTAACTTTGTAACCTTGAGGGGGGGGATTTTCAGTCTTGGTTTCACCTTTGTTTGTGCCGATACTATGTAGCCATTAAAAGTGTTCTTTGAGGAAAGCAAATGCCTCAAGAGTTCTTATTTCTACTGGTCTCATCTATCAGAACCATGACATACTGGTTCAATAGCGGTAACTGCAAGAGGGAGTCCTAGTGGACAACCACTTCAATATGAGCCAGCAGTGTGCTACAGCTGCTAAAAAAAGCCAACACAGTCCTAGGCTGCATTAATAGAGGGATAGAATCAAGATTGCATGAAATGTTAGTACTGTTTTATAAGACATTGGTAAGACCACACGTGGAATATTGCATCCAGTTTTGGTCACCATGATATAAAAAAAGATGTTGAGACTCTGAAAAGAGGGCAAAGAAAAGCAACAAAGATGATTAGGGTATTGGAGGCTAAAGCATATGAAGAAGGGTTGCAGGAACTGAGTGTGCCTAGTCTAATAAAGAGAAGGGGTGACATGATAGCAGTGTTCCAATAGCTAAGAGGCTGTTACAAAGAAGGGGGGGGAGAGGTCAACCTATTCTCCAAAGCACCAGAAGGCAAGACAAGAAACAATGGATGGAAACTAACTAAGGAGAGAAGCAACCTAGAACTAAGGAGGAGTTTCCTGACAGAACAATTTACCAGTGGAATAGCTTGCCTCCAGACGTTGTGGGTGCTTCATTATTGGAGGTTTTTAAGAAGAGACTGGATAGCTATTTGTCTGAAATAATCTTGTGTCTCCTGCTTGAGCAGGGGATTGGACTATAAGACCTCCGAGGTCTCTTGCATACTCTGTTATTCTTCTATTAAAGAATCAGAAGCAACTGAATGACTGAACAAACAGCAACGTGAGCAAATGAGCTCCTTTCCATCTCCTAACTTTCCTATCTCAATTTCAGTTTTGATTTCTCTGTTGGCTTGCTTTTCTCTGACCTTTTTTTTTTCCCTCCCCCCCCTTCTCAGGTATTACACTGCAACGCTGTCACCAAATGCTTTACCCAGCAGTTACTTGGAGGAAGAGGATGTGGCAGCAGATAATCCCAGCCAGCTGTTGCCAAACAGAAACTATACTGATCAAATCCCTCCTCTGTGGCTCATCTTGAAGAAGATTGGCATGTTAGGTTTCTGTGTCCTCTACGTCTACTTCATCTCGGTCACCATTTTCCCTGCAATCTCATCCAGCATTGAGTCTGTGAACAAATTCTCAGGGAGCCCCTGGACAGATAAATACTTCACACCTATCACTAGTTTCCTTCTGTACAATTTTGCTGACTGGTGTGGGCGGCAGATCACTGCGTGGGTCCAGGTTCCTGGACCACGAAGCAAGTGGCTACCAGCTATGATTTTGCTGAGAACTTGTTTCATCCCCCTCTTCATGTTATGCAACTATCAGCCTCGAACGCACATTGCAAAAGTCACCTTTGCCCATGACGTGTATCCAGTGGTGTTTATTGTGTCGCTAGGACTCAGCAATGGCTACCTGAGTACCTTGTCGATCATATATGGTCCCAAAGTCACTCCAAAGGAACTGTCAGAGGCAGCAGGAGTGTTGATGATGCTCTTCATGCAAGTGGGGTTAGCACTAGGATCGGGCTTCTCGGTTCTTGTTGTCCATCTCATATAGATGGGAGATTTCAAGCCTGGAACTTCACTACTACGAGGTCATTTTCAAAAAGACAGAGCAAACACTGGCCTACCAGTGGAGTATTCCATTTTTTAGGAAGTGGTGTAGGCCAGGGGTCCTCAACCTTGGCAACTTTAAGACTTGTGGACTTCAACTCCCAGAATTTCTCAGCCAGCTTTGCTGGCTGAGGAATTCTAGGAGTTAAAGTCCACAAGTCTTAAAGTTCCCAAGGTTGAAGACCCCTGGTGTAGGCGTTCTGGCCTTTGGGTGTCCAAAAAAAGCTTGAAAATGCAGAAGTGAAATTCCAATGTATTATTGAAGGTCTCACTTTTTTTTTCATTTTTTGCAGATAGGGTTTTATTTTGATGGCAAGTAAATTTATTTAGCAATAGGACTCACATATCTTCACAGGTTTATGACATGGAAACTCTTGTGTTTTTCTACGGATGTGAAGGAATTACATTCTAGATTTTTAAAGCTCTCATTAAAATCAGTCTTCTAAATTATTCAGAATAATAAAAGTTCATTTGAGGAACTCTGCAAAGAAATCAATAGCTTACTCTGTCTTCCAATACATGTTTTATATGACCTTAAGAGAAATATCCCTGTAATACAGTGTAGAATAAACATGTTAAAAATATAACAAATGCAGATCAGTCAAGTAGGATT